CTACCACTTGAGCCACAGCGCCACTTCCGGCTTTTTTCTTTTTGCTTATGTGGTGCTGAGGAATCGAACCCAGGACCTCAAGCATGCAAGGCAAGCGCTCTACCACTGAGCCAACTTCCCAGCCCCCCAATGTATTTTTTAAGCACAATTTAATACCTTAATAACTATTTGAAGCCGGGCGATGGTGGCTCACGCCTGTAATCCTAGCTACTCAGGAGGCTGAGATCTGAGGATCACGGTTCAAAGCCAGCCCTAGCAGGAAAGTCTGTGAGACTCTTATCTCCAATAAATCACTTGAAAACCTGAAGTGGCACTGTGGCTCAAGCGGTAGATCGCTTGCCTTGAACTGAAGAGCGCAGGGACAGCGCCCAGGCCCAGGGTTCAAGCCCCATGACCGACTAAAAAACAAAACAAAACTATTTGATAAGAAAACAACGAGTTCAAGGGCTCCAAACAGGCGAACCCTAAACCCTGGCATAGCTGAAGGCCCTCACCGGCTCCTCCTTACCTAGGGCACAATCTAAGATGGGGAAGGGAGCTCAAAACAGTTTATTCCAGAAAGAAATCAACAAATGAATGACAACTAGTTTATTCCAGAAAGCCAGTGAGTAGGCACTCAGGAGTGAGCAGTATAATCCACATCAGTCCGCCTCAGTGAACATCGCCCTGCAGACAAAAGAAAATTCATGAGGCCACAGCTAAGAACAAGTAGGTTCTTTGCACAACCCCACATGGTCCTACCTCCTTTTTCCTGCAGTCGCCGCACACCACACCAATGGTGGCATTCACCAGCTGTATTCCACACAGCAGGATCTCCAGGCACGAGGCGGCCACCAGCAAAGAGAAGAGTGTCACGTTCCAGGGGACCACGTGAGGTGGCTCCTCGCACCAATCCCACAGAGTGTCATTGTACAAGTAAGCGCCTCTGTGGATGGACACAGGGTCATGTGGGAGAAACAGGTCACATGGTATGTTACCCGTGCACATGCCAATGGTCATTTGCAAAGGGCTCATTTGGGCTACCTGGAGGGAGCTCTCCTTCCTCTTTTTTGTGCTGGTACTGAGGCTTGGACTCAGGGCCTTACATTCTTTTTTTTTGGGTCGTAGGTCCTGAACTCTGGGCCTGGGCGCTGTCCCTCAGCTCTTCAGCTCAAGGCGAGCACTCTACCACTTGAGCCACAGCGCCACTTCCGGCTTTTTTCTTTTTGCCTATGTGGTGCTGAGGAATCGAACCCAGGGCCTCATGCATGCAAGGCAAGCGCTCTACCACTGAGCCACCTTCCCAGCCCTTCAGGGCCTTACATTCTTGCTTGGCTTTTTTTTTTTTTTCTACCACTTGAGCCACAGCTCCATTCCTGGCTCTTTGGTGGTTAATGAGAGAGAAGAGACTCACAGACTTTCTTGCCTGGACTGGTTTTGAACCACAGTTCTCAGATCTCAGCCTCCTGAGTAGCTAGGATTCCAAGTATGAGGCACTAGTGATCAGCTAGAGAATACTCTTTTTTTTTGTTATTGGTGGTAATGGTTGTGGGCTTGAACTCAGGGCCTGGGTGCTGTCCCCGAGAGCTGGGAATGATTACGGGCATGTACTACCATGCCCAGCTTGCAATAGTTTATTTGAGGAGTGGGCTTGAGAAGAAAGGCTTTTCTCTTCTCTTCTGACCCCTCTCTCCTCTGTAGCAAATGAACACCAAAGCTGAAGCAAATATCCCTCCCCCCTCCCACACCTTTGTGGGGCTTGAACTCAGGGCCTGCTAACATTCTACCACTTTGAGCCACACCTCCACTCTGGTGTTCTGGTGGTTAATTGGAGATAGTCTTAGGGACTTTTTTGCCCAATCCTTAGATCTCAGCCTCCTAAGGATTACAGGTGTGAGGCACCAGCAACCAGCCAGGGAATTTTCTTGAAACCTGACCTGACCTAGGTTGACTCATGTGGGAAAAGCAGGTGGGAAGATGCAGGAAATGTGGGATACAAATGCAGGTGAAGACTTACGATGTTTCTTGGAAGTGGTAGTCCCATTTGCCATTTTTTAAGCATTTGGGTCCAATGCGGAGCCCGGCTCCTGACACTGAGAGACAGTAGATGGCCCCAAGCATCCCGAAGGCCGAGGAGAAAACGGAGCGAAGCATCTGGATGGAGGGGGAAATGTGAGCCGCTACAGTGGTGGGGTCCGAAATGGTGGAAAAATCACACTAGCTCTGCCTGGCACGTTACCGTGTTACTTTCCAGCCATATTCAAAGTACATTTGCCATCAAACCCCACTCTTGGAGTGAGGCTAGCCCAAGAACCTGTGGATGTGGAAGTTCTGGGGGTTGTAGTCTCCGCTGGTCAGGTTTACTAAGACTGATCTGCAAGTGGCGGGAGGGTGTGAGGTGGGGTCTGGAACTAAAGAGGGGCTCTAAAAGGAAGGGTTTGGAGACCTCCAGCTCTCAATCACCCCACTCTACCCCATCACAAAAGATCCACACATGTAACTCATTGGCCTCAACTAGCGTTTTTCCTAAGTCTACTGAGTGCTGGGATTGTAGATGTGAGCCTGAATCCCTTCTTCATTTAGGTCTTACCCTGCAGCGATTTCCACAGCAGCCTGCACCACAACAGCCCTTGCCCCCTGCACGAACAGCGGCAATTCCTGGACATAGCACCTGTGGGTCAAGAGTCTGGGATAGATAAGATGTCCTCCCCGATTCTCAAGACTTTATCTGCATCATTGCTCACTTCCTACAGGAATTTGCCAAGATAACCTCAGCCCTTTGGACTATAGAGTGGACCTTATCTTTATTTCTCTGAGAGCCGGATGGGATCAACTTATACTTATCGTTATTTGCCTGCCTACTTTACCTCTGTCCAGAGTGAAGCTTCCTGTAAGCTAGGCTCCAATATTATATATTCCCCACAAATCTTGGCACATAGATCTGACCCAGCCTCAGTTTGAAGCTTAGACAGCAAATATGGAAGCCACGAGGCCTAGATTTAGCCAGCCCTGCGTTCCCTCCCACTCTAGAAGTTGGTTGGTTTCTCTGGATTTCTGTTTTGTTTTGTCAGTCCTGGTTCTTGGACTCAGGGCCTGTGCGCTGTCCCTGAGTGCTTTTGCTCAAGGCTAGCACTCTACCATTTTGAGCCACAGCGCCACTTCTGGTAATTAAGTGGAACTAAGAGACTTAGGACTTTCCTGCCCAGGCTGGCTTTGAAACCTGATCATCAAATCTCAGCCTCCTAAATAGCTAGGATTACAGGTGTGAGCCACCAGTGCCCAGCTGGATTTCCCTTTTGACCTGTGAAAATGGGGCTGCCAGACTTACCTTACAGGTTGTTCTCAGGGTTTAATGAGAGAACAGGTTGGTTTTTGTCTCAAGGCTCTCTTGGAGTAAGAGCTCCCTAACTCTAATATTGAGAGTTCAGCAGCAGGCAAGGATGGTGGTGTGGAAGAGCCTAGTGAGCTGGGATTATGGTGGTATGAGTAAGGGTATGTTCACAGTTTTCTGATATGAATTTTAAATTTCCTAATATTCAGCCTTAGATCCTTTTTCTCCCCGTGGATTTTCTCACAAAGTCCAGCTCCTCCCAGGCAATCAGCTGTTCTTTCTGATATCACCTCCAGATGACTGCAGACGTAAATCAAACTGCCTGAAGGATGTGTTCACTTGAACATTTTGGCTTAAGCTCAGATTCAGCCAGCTTTATGCTGACCCCACAATATTATAAACAAAAGATAATCTTTCTTGATTTGTGTTCTATGTACCTGAGTGTGTTTATTTTGTAAAAAAAAACATTGAGCTGAGATTGGAAGATGTAGCTCAGCGGCAGAGTACATGCTTGGCACACACAAAGCCTAAAGTTCAATTCCAGCATCTCTCTCCAGCAAACACACACACACACACACACACACACACACACACACGCACACACACACAACAAACAAACTTGTAAAAGGTTAACTTATATGCTGTCTCAAGCTTGTATTCCTAGCTACTTGGGAGGTGATGATCAAAGATGGTGGTCCAAGGCCATTTGGAGTGTGTGGTGATTGGTGGGTGAGAGTCTGAGAGACTCCATCTTGACCAATGGCTGGGTGTGGTAGTGTGTCCCCATCATCCTAGTGATATGGGGAAGCACAAATAGGAGGATCATATTTCAGGCTGGCCCAGGCATAAAGTGAGACCCTATCTTGAAAATAACCAATGTAAAATGGGGCTGATAAAATGGCTCAAGTAGTAGAGAGCCTACCTGACAAACATGAAGACTACAGAGCAAGCATCAAACCCCAGCACAACCAAAACATAATAAAATAGTCCTAAAATGGAGAGAAAGAGAGAGAGAGAGAAGAGGGAGACACACACACACACACACACACACACACACACACCCCAAGCATGGTTGCACATGCCTGTAATCCCAGCTATGTAGAACAGACATACTCTCTGCAAATGCTGAAAAAAATTACAAAATTTTTCTGTAGTTTTCTGTGGTATTTGTAATAGAATTCAAATTACTTATGCCTTTCAAGGGCATGCATGCATGGTCTGGCCTCTACCCCTCCCAGCTCATCTCATTAAACCTCAGCTGCACTGTTGCCTGTCTGATCAGTTCAGACTTCCTCTCATCAAAGCCTTACTTAAAAAAGGTAAAATAGGGCTGGGAAGGTGGCTCAGTGGTAGAGCACTTGCCTTGCATGCCTGAGCCCTGGGTTCGATTCCTCAGCACCACATAAGCAAACAGAAAAAAGCCGGAAGTGGCGCTGTGGCTCAGGTGGTAGAGTGCTAGCCTTGAGCTGAAGAGCTGAGGGACAGTGCCCAGGCCCAGAGTTCAGGCCCACTACTGGACCCCCCCCCAAAAAAAAGGTAAAATAGAAAAAACAAAAAACACCGTACCTAAAATTACAGTAAAATGTGGCCTGTGGATGGAAATGTAGTCAATGGTAGAATGTGTGATTAACATGCACAAAGCCCTAGACTCAATTTTATTTATTTATTTAGTTTTGGTGCCAGTACTAGGACTTGAACTCAGGGCTTGGGCTCTGTCTCTTAGTTTTTTCAATTAAGGCTGGCATTCTACTACTTTAGCCACTCCTCCAATCCTGGCTCTTTTTTTTTTTTTTTGGGGTCCCGTCGTGGGGCCTGAACTCTGGGCCTGGATGCTGTCTCTCAAGCTCTTCAGCTCAAGGCTAGCGCTCTACCACTTGAGGCACAGCGCCATTTCCGGCAATTTTTCTTTTTGCTTATGTGGTGCTGAGGAATTGAACCCAGGGCCTCATGCATGCGAGGCAAGCGCTCTACCACTGAGCCACCTTCCCAGCCCCAAATCCTGGCTTTTTAGTGGTTATTTTGGTGATAAAAGTCTCATAGACTTTTCTGCCTATGCTGGTTTTGAACCCAGATCCTCAGATCTCAGCCTCCTGAGTAGCTAGGATTACAGGCAGAAGCCACTAGTACCTGGCTTCCCAGATTCAATTTCCAATCCTCCCCCCCCAAAAAAATGTGGCTTCTTCACTTTGCCCTAAGAGACCTTTATGATCCTACCTTGCTTTATTTATGTTTGAATGGCACCTATGTTTATCTAAAATCATTTTGCTTATCTATTTGTTGTGTTCATCTGGTGACTATGCATACCATGTTTAATGACTAAAGGCTCTGATCTTGGCACCAGGTGCACTGCGGCCAACAAAACACCTTCCTGCTCTGATGGGCTTCTGGTCTTCCTTCCTTTCTTCCTTCCTTTCTTTCTTTCTTTCTTTCTTTCTTTCTTTCTTTCTCCTTCTCTCTCTCTCTCTCTTTCTTTCTTTCTTTTTTTCCTTTCTTTCTCCCTCTCTTTCTTTCCTTCTTTCTCTCTTTCTTTCTTTTCTTCTCCCCTCTCTCTTTCTTTCTTGCTTGCTTGTGGCCTCAACACAGAAGTCTTTCTTTTGTTCAAAACAGCATCAAAAAAAAATCCCCAATTGTATATAAACCTCTTAGTATATAAAATATAGACTATGTCCCACAGTTTTCCTTTACAGGGTAGCAAGAGAAAGTATAGCTGATGGGGGGTAAAGTGAAGTTAGGTAAGCCAGGCATTAACATTCAAAGACCAGGTAAACATCAACTTTAGTAGAAAAAGCAGTGTTAAAGGAGTTCCTGTGAAGCTGGGATTTACAGTCTTCCTTTTGTACTCCTAGGCCATCCCATCTACAGCCTGACTCTTTTCAATCATGGGTCTTTGCCTTTGGAGTGGTACTATAAAGGGAATGCCTGTCTACTACAATTTTTGTTGTTGTTATTGGTTGTGAGCCTGAACTCTGGGCCTGGGCGCTGTCCTTCAGCATTTCAGCTCAAGGCTAGTGCTCTACCACTTGAGCCACAGAGCCACTCTGGCCTTTAGTAGGTCTGTATAAATGACAGAGAAGGTGCCTCCAAGTCTTCCTGAACATAAGGATCTGTGCGTGTGTCTGTATCTCTGTGTGTGTGTGCCAGTCCTGGGGCAAGTCCCTGAACTTTTTCTCTCATGTGGTAGTGCTCTACCACATGAGTCACAGCTCCACTTCCAGCTTTTTTTTGTTTTTGTCAGTCATGGGGCTTGAACTCTGGGCCTGAATGCTGTCCCTCAGCTCCTCAGCTCAAGGCTAGCGCTCTACTACTTGAGCCATAGCGCTACTTCTGGCTTTTTCTGCTTATGTGGTACTGAGGAATCGAACCCAGGGCCTCATGCATGCAAGGCAAGCACTCTTCCACTGAGCCACCTTCCCAGCCCCATTTAGGGAAACTTTTACACCATCATGGAATAAAGGCAACAGATCCATCATGGCTCCTTGCCTCTCAGGACAGTTGACTGGTGAAATTCCTTGGCAGAGGTCCTCTCCTCCAGCCCTATCACCGGACATATTTCTACTAGTGAAATGGTAATTCTGCTTCTTTAACCAACAACCCCCTCTTTACCCACTGATATCTTTTCTCCTACTCCTTACCAACTGCATCGATTTCAGGCCATGGGACTCCATCTCAGACCTCTAGAAGTCACATTCCTCCAGGAAGCCACACTGCTCCCTGGCCTACATACCCAGTCCCAGACTCAATCTAACTCACCTGCTTTTGGAGAGTTCCCCAAGTCTGTGTTCCCAGAATCCAAAGCTAACTCCCTTCCCACTCCACATCTAGAGTTGCTTTCAGGAAGCACTGAATAATGCCTTAGGGACATAGTCCAAGTCCTTATTCTTCCTGAAGCTTGTGTTTATTGATTGGACAAAAGGTATCAAGAAAGTAAGACAAGCTAGACACTGGTGACTCATGTCTGTCATCCTAGCTACTCAGGAGGCTGAGATCTGAGGATCATGGTTCAAAAGCCAGCCTGGGCAGGATTGTGAGCCTCTTATCTCCAATTAACCACCAGAAAACCAGAAGTGGAGCTGTGGCTTAAAGTGTTAGAACACTAGTCTTGAGCAAAAACAAACAAACAAACAAACAAACTCAGAGACAGAGCCCAAGCCCTGAGTTCAAGCCCTACCACTGACAAAAAAAAATCAAGGGAAAGCGCAAGACCCTGAGTTCAAGCTCCAGTCACCATCCAAATAAAATTTTTGGCACTATTGGAGGTTTGAACTCAGGGCCTTAACACTTGCCAGGCAGATGCTCTACCATTACAGCCATGCTCCAAGCACACCCAGATACAAAATTTAAAACAATTTAGAGAAAAAGGAAGGTATGTGGAGAATGAGTGGACATGGAGGAGGGTGGCGCTGAGGCAGTGACTGATTGCGATTTCTCCTCCTGGCTCCAGACCTGTCCACTTCCCCTCCTCCCCCTGCCTTTTATTTATTACCCACTCAACCAGCTGTTCCTTTCCCACATCTGCTCAACTATGGAGGCAGGCAGGGCAGGGAGGGCTTGCTGTCACCAAAGGGAGGCTCATTGGAGATGTGAGGTTCCTGTCTCCAGCTCCCATCAGACATTGCGCCCAGGGTCCTGGCCCTCCACGGCCTTCTACAGAGTGATCAGCATATAGTAGTATGGTTGGACAAGCTCCATGTTCCCACCAGCCCCTTGCCACCCCTCACCCCAGGTGCCAGTCCTTCTCCTTTTCTCTTTCTCCTTTTTTTTTTTTCCAGTCTGAGATCAGGACTGGAACTCAGTACCTAATGCTTTCCACTCATCAGCTAGTGCTCTACCAACTGGGCCATGCTGCAACCCCTTTCCCTTCATTCCTGTCCAGGACCCATCAGTGCCCAGTGCCCAGGTTCCCAGCCCCTGCCCCTGCCCGTCTCACCATCAGTCCCCCACCGATGAAGCCAGCCATGAGCCAGACTTGCAAACTGAGATGGTCCGTCCAGGTAGTCTTCCCATCTGGTACCAGCAAGAGGGCATTGGCCACAATGCAGATCAGGGAAAGGGGGATGAGGGAGAGCCCTACGCAGCGGGCACACTTTCCTGTGCACATAGCCAGGCGTCAGGAAGGGCAGAGGCAGTGAGTGAAAGTGAGCCTCAGGTTCCAGGTCTACAGGCCCCTAGGCAGGAGCATGGAACAAAGGTTGGAGAAGAGGCGTGGTAGAAACTGGCAGGACCAGAGCGATAAGGGAGATGTGAACAGGTGCAGATAGAGGAGCTGCAGCTCAAGAGGTGAAGAGGAAGTGGGGGATGTGGTGATGGAGGAGGTGGGAGAGTTTGTCACACAAAGGAAGTTGCCTGGGGCCAGTGCCTTCTAGTGCCTCTTTTGTTCCTTTCCTTCTTTGCAAGCTCAGTCCAACCCTTCTGGTCTTCAAGCCTCCATGGCCTCTTCTGTCTAACGGGTAGACTGATGCTATTTTCCTGGTAGGTTGGCTGGAAAAGGATTCAGTGGGACAAGACGAAAAGCATTTTGTAAACTAGCAAGCACAGACCAGATGTGTGATGGCCTCATGATTTCTGTCCCACAGGGATAACTCCTCACAGAAATTTAAAAAGATGGGAATGTGGCTTAGTGGTAGAAGGCTTGCCTAGCATGCATGAAGCCCTGGGTTCGATTCCTCAGCACCACACACAGAGAAAAAGCCAGAAATGATGCGGTGGCTCAAGTAGTAGAGTGCTAGCTTTGAGCAAAAGAAGCTCATGGACAGTGCCCAGGCCTTGAGTTCAAGCCTTAAGACTGGCAAAAAAATTAAAAAAGACATGAATTGAGCCAGCGATGATGGGAAACCTATAGTCCCAGTGACTCAGGAGGATCATGCGGCCAGCCTGATGCTTTCTGTAAAAATAAATAAAAGATATTAGGTTTTTGTTGTCTTTTCATTTTCTCAAAATTTGCTTATTCACCTCCTTTTGCTTGCTTGCTTCCTTTCTTCCTTCTTCCCTTATTTTCTCATTTCTTCCTCTCTATCTTTTTTCTTTCTTTATCCCTTTCTCTTTTTCTTTCTTTCTCCCTTTCTCTCTCTCTCTTTCTTTCCTTCCTTCCTTCCTTCCTCTCTCCCTTTTTTCTTTCTTTCCTTCCTTCCTTCCTCTCTCCCTTTTTTCTTTCTTTCCTTCCTTCCTTCCTCCCTCCCTTCTTTCTTTCCTTCTTTCTCTTTCTTCCTCCCTTTCTCTCTTTCTTTTTTTCTGTGTGTTCATACATAAATACTAAAGCTTGAATTCAGGGCCTCACACTCTTGCTTAGCTTTATCCAATCAAGGCTGGCTCTACCACTTGAGCTATACCTCCACTTCTGGATTTTTTGCTGGTTAGAGATAAGGGTCTCAGATTTGCTACCCTGAGGTGGTTCCCCCCCCCCCACTCCTGTTGGTCCTGGGCTTGAAGTCAGGGCCTAGACGCTGTCCCTGAACCTCTTTGTGCTCAAGACTAGCACTTTACCACTTGAACCATAGCACCACTTCCACCCTTTTCTGTTTATATGGTACTGAGGAATCAAACCCAGGGCTTCATGCATGCTAGGCAAGCACGCTACCATGCTCAGCCATATTCCTAGCTCTGGGCAGGATTTTAACTGTAATAATCAGATCTCAGCCTTCTGAATAGCTAGGATTACAGGTGTGAGCTACTAGCACACACACACACACACACACACACACACACACACACACACAGCCACTGTACACCCCCCCCCCACTAATGCCACTATCTATCTCTCAAGGATGGGCTTGAGACAGAGGCCTGACTCATCAGTGTCTGCGGGGCTTTTGCTTGGTTGTCCAAACCAAGACAGTCCTGTGAGAATTAGTTTCAGTTATTTATTGTTTAGTCGTGCATTCTGAGGTCAAAGAAGTTCTGCTTTTTGGGGGTTCTGAAGTTGCTGGTAGTCTGTTGTCATCATGGGGATGTTGGAATGAGAAATTTATTTAGAAGAACAATTGAAGACCACCCATGTCCATTTCCAAAGCCTGACCATTCCTTGAAAGTTCTGATTCCATTAACTGGCTATATTTCTATCCACTGTGAAGTGTGTGTGTGTGTGTGTGTGTGTGTGTGTGTGTGTGTGTGCATGAGTGCATGCACTCACCTGCTAGCACTTGAACTGTCACTGGGCTTTTTCACTCAAGACAAGTGTTCAACCACTTGCGCCACATCTCCACTTTCAGCTTTTTGCTCATTCAATTGGAGATGAGTTTTAGGGATTTGTCTGCCTAGGCTGGCTTTGAACATTTTTATCCTCAAATCTCAGCCTCCTGAGTAGCTAGGATTCCAGGTATGAGCAACCAGTGGCAGGCTAGGAATCATTTTTGACACAGAGATTAATTCATTAAGTACTTCTTAGGGCCTTGTGCTAGAGACTGTATGATTCACAAATGTAGCCCTAAGGTCTCTGCAGAATTAACCCACATTCAAATAGGATGTGGTAGTCTGTGGAGGAAATGAGGATAGCAGAATGTACCTCAGGACCTGTTGAGACATACAATACTTCAGGGAGAGATGTAGTTTCTCCATACTCTCACTCATTGCACTACAAGGATGTAGAGATAGAGAAAACCCATCACTCAGAATGAATCTTGGAACAATCCCTGCTACTTAGAAGATAAGAACATACTTTGAACTTTCCCCAACTACCTCTGACTCACAGGTAATGATTGTGGTAATTGATATTTGATGTTGCTTCTGTTGACTCACTTAATGTTTATTAAAACTTTTCTATGTTGCTTCTGATATTTTCTCTTTTCTCTTTAGTGTTTTTATAATGTTTCTGTGTTTTAGAAAGCATATTTTAAATCTGGGTAATGGTTATCTTTTTTTTTCTTTTTTGTCGATCATGGGGCTTGAATTCTGGGCCTGTGCACTGTCCCTCAGCTCTTCAACTCAAGGCTAGCGCTCTACCACTTGAGCCACAGTGCCACTTCTGTTTTTTCTGGTGGTTTATTAGAGATAAGAGTTTCACAGACTTTCCTGCCCAGGCTAGCTTGGAACCTCCATCTTCAGATCTCAGCCTCCTGAGTAGCTAGAATTACAGGTGTGAGCCACCTGGTTATCTTAAAATATCACAAACCGTGTCCTTTTAAAAGTTATTTTCTTTATTTTTTTGTGCCTTGAACTCAGGGCCCAAGTGCTGTCCCTTAGCTTGTTTGGCTCATGTGGCTCTATCACATGAGCTAATCCTACACTTCCAGCTTTTTGGCGATTAATTGGAGATAAGAGATTTTGACTTTTCTGCCTGGGCTGGCTTTGAATCATGATCCTCAGATCTCAGCTTCCTTTAATTTGTTACTGTGTCTCTCTCTGAGAAATCTCTGACTGCTATCATTCTTGCCCATTGTTGGGATGCTGTAGCACTGGATTACCAAGCCCAGCGCCATACAATCACATGATCTTGTTATAAAAACAAAATTGTTTTCTCTTGTTCCTTAATTCTTCCTTTACCCATATATATATATATATATATATATATATATATTTTTTTTTTGCTATGGCATTTTTTGGTTCTTTCTGCCAGATATAGAATGAACCTCTACCACGTGGATAACATGCAATGTGGGCAGAATCTACAACATCCTGCTTCTGAGCCTTGAGATGTTTTGCTACCTGCCATTATCTTTGTCAAGAAAACAACTTCTACTAGGCACTGGTGGCTCATGCCTGTAATTCCATCTACTTAGGAGGCTAAGATCTGATGCTCATAGTTTGAAGTCAGCTGGGGCTGAAAGTCTGTGAGACTCTTATCTCCACATAACTGGCAAAAAGCTGGAAGTGGAGGTATAGCTGAAGGTATAGCTTGTTGAAAAACGCCAAGTGGGAAAAAAATGAGCCAAGTGGGTACACACACACGCACACCAACCTGATTAATCCACTGGTAAAACAGTTTAAAACACAAAGAAACAGCCCAGATCAGGTCCCAGCCTACAATAACCAACCTCCAACCAACTTGTAAGTGAAATAAATGCTTATATCTACCCGTCACCAAGACTGTAGGGGCCTTTTGTTTTGTTTTGTTTTTGTTCTTTGTTACATGGCCATAGCTCTCTATTCAGATGCCACTCTCCAGATCATGTGATTTATTGAAAAATGTATAGCTGATCCCAAGGCAAACCCATGAGAACTCTGTCTGACTGAGCTACTCCGGTGTGTGATAGCAGATCTACCAATTGAATCTCCATTTGTGGGGACTTTGTGTATAAAACAATCTGAGTGAATCAATAGAGACTAGAATGACCCCAAACTGAGAGGTATGGAAGAAAGGAATGAGCAAAAGCCATGAGGCCACTGGAACCACAAAGGAGCAGAAGTCACAGTAGGAGAATTTCATGGAAAAGCTCTATCAGAAACAGTGCATAGCTGGGTGCTGGTGTCTCACGCCTGTAATCCTAGCTACTCAGGAGGCTGAGATCTGAGGATCATGGTTCAAAGCCAGCCCAGGCAGGAAAGTCCATGAGACTCTTTTTTTT